GGAACTTTTTTATCGGAAATTTCCTCCTCTTCAATGAGCTCTTCTCAAAATTGCTTAAATATTAATATTTTTTGAGTTATTAACGAAAAACTAAATACCATTTTTTTTATCTTATTTTGTTAATAACAATTGCAATTTTACACCTGCACCAAAATCCTTCAAAAACATTCTTCTAGAGGTGATTCCGAATCGAATGAGCTATCTATCATATTTTTAGGACCTTTATCTCTATTTTTCATGTTTAGAATATAAATATGATTAGACTATAAAGGGTATTTCATTTAGCGCGTCCTATCTTTAATTTAAATAAAACGAAGTGGGTGGAGCTTATCCGAAACGTTCAATTTTACATGACTCTGGCGCATAAATCAGGCTGAATTTGACCGATGACATGGGTTATGTTGAATTCAAGAAACGCTGTGATTTGTGGCTCATTCGCATACACCTGCGACTTGAAAAACCCCGCAAGAAAAAGTCTAACGAGGTCAAATTCCTTTTCCATATTCTCTGTTTTACTATCATTGTCGTCATTCAAATCAACAACGAATTCATTTTCACCATTAATATGGAAGTGTCCAATCTCCATATAGTCTTTTTCTATTAAAATCACTTTTTTTAATCTTTTTCTGCCAGTCTTCTTTGGTAATATTAGAAACTTCTTCTTTAATTAGCTTCATTAACTTTTTATCAAATTTTAGAAAATTAGTTTCACGCCAGATGCTTCGTTTAAATTTTGTCAAAATCAACTTGATTGATTGATTGATTGATTGAAAACACAAAAATATGGGGAAAGTCTCAATATGGTGTGTCCATACTAATAAAAAACTTTGTATTTCATCTTTCTTCGAATTTTTATTCGGTACTTTGATGAGCTGTCGCGAATGATAGGAAGCGTTGTCAAAAACTATTACACTATTCGCAACCCATCTTTTACTTTCTCCTCAATGCATAATGATTAGTCGCGATCCTTTGTTTGCAGGCATGCTAGGCGTACACATTCTCGAACCATCAGTCTACCCTTTCGTAACTGTGTCGAGAGTATCATACCAAGATTCGTCCAAATAGAAAATTTGCCGTTGTTCTTGACTATATTTAGTTATTTGTTCTAAGTATTTGTTACGCAATTCCACTATTCTTCCATAACTGCCTGAGGTTTGTTTATTATTATAAATCTAAATCCTAGTTTCTTTATCCAAATCTGAAGAGTTTTGTCACAGCAGCGCACGTTATAGCCGTAAGCATTCAATTTCTTCCTTATGATTTCAATTATAGGAATATCATTGCTTTCATAGCAATGGTATATTGTTTTTTTCAATGATTTCATCAGATGAACATCTAAAGGTTTTGGTAATTCCGTATCACATCGCGTCTTGCGTTCATAAGGTTTGTTTTTGACTATTTTACGTACAGTTGAGAAAAGAATTTCGGTCAAATCTGATGCTTGTAACAGTTGGTTTCCCTCGAAACCAAACTTAAAATGTAGATTCTTATAGTCATTGAAACATACTCCCTGTGGTTCAATATTCAAATGCATCTGAATCTTATTCACTGGTATTTCTTTTCCGCATTGTTCACCATCGCTATTTGAATCACTACACTGGAATAAGTCTGTGTTGTTATCACACTCGCTATTACTATTAGTACTTGTCCAAAGACAACACATTTCAAACAGATAACAAAAATTTTAGGTAATTATAACTGCACCAATATCGAATTTTNTGCCTCGGATTCTCCTGCACACTCTCACAGACAGTCCTCTCAGTGGAACTATTATGGCAACCATCAAATGGGCGCGCGGTACGTTGCCCGAACAGAACACCCATTTCATTAAAACTATTTTAACATTTGCACGTGTTGTTGAATGTTAATTCGTCCATGGTGATTCGGCAAAACAGACTCAATGAATGAGGACTAGTTTGACAGAAAACCGTTATCAGTTTTATCAGTTGTTGAAGTTCGGAAGTCGCAGTTGGAAGACCCTATAGAATTAGGCTAAAACTGAAGTGGAATTATTACCTCGTGTTCTTCAAATTTCCCAACGCAGAATTGAACTATTGATCGTATGACTTCGTTAGAAGAGAATGCACCGAAAGCTGCCCACACAAAAAACGTAGGTGTCAAAC